CCGGGTGAGCTTTCCAGCTACAGGTGGTGGGTGCCCCCACGGTGGAGGAGCTGCAGATTTGGAGCTTCTGGGGGCACAGTGGGAGGTGGCAGCAGCTGTGCACAGCAGGGACCTGATGGGGTCCTGCGAGGCCCCAAGTGCAGGGGGGCACGTTGGGGATGGCAGGCCATGCACCCTCCTGCCAGGGATGGCTGTGACACCCCAGGGTCGCAGGGCAGCCGGGGTGTGAGGAGGGGGCTCTCGGGAGGGCGGGCTGGGGGGTGGGAGGCTGTGGCATCTCCAGGGCAGCCTGGAGGCTGGCAAGGTCCTGGGGACGTGAAGCAGAAGGGATGGCAAGAAGTCCCAGCGCTTGCCTGGGGCTGGGGAAGGCTGGGCCAGCTTCAGGGAGAGAAGAAGAGGTGAGGCAGAGCCAGGCCAGCTGGAGACCCCGCAGTAGGGCCAGAAGAAGGATCCTGGGGTGCTGTTCGGGCTGGCTGGCCGCAGGGTGGCTCCTGGGCTGGGATCTGCAGGAGAGGACGTGATGGGATGTGGTGGGACCCGGCGCGTCCTGCCCTTCCTACCACCATCGCCTGCAGGGAATGTTCCTGGCCACCCCCACCCAGCAGCCCTGCCTGCCCTGCGGGGTACTGGGCAGCCTCCGCAATCCCTTCGCTGTTCCTGCAGCCCGGTGTCCCACACAGCACGGCCCGTGTGGCACATCCCATCCCCTCTAGCCCGGCATCTTGTGCAGCACCCAGTGCAGCACGCTCCCCCCACCACGCAGCATGTCCTGCGCGGCACGTCCCATCCCACCGCAGCACGGCATCCCAAGCCACGCGCCCCACGCCGTGCATGCCAAACCGTGCACCCCACGCCTTGCACCCCACACGGCGTCTTGCCTCCCGCCGCGGGCCGACCTGGCACCGAGACACGGCCGGGTTTGCAGCACACCGGGAGTCCGGAGGCGGAGGGCTGCCTGCCCGCTGCGGGCTGGGTGGCTGTCCCGCCGGGCTGCTATACATAGGCCAGCCCTGCCCCAGCCAGGCGCTCAATGGAGCAGGCTCAGCCTTATCAACCCGGCGTGTCATCAGAGGGTATTTTTGGGGACAGCAGCTGCAGGCATTCGTAACGTTTGGTCCCTGAGTGCTGACACCCGGGAGCGGAGCTGGGGGAAGTGGCAGGAGCTCGTGCCGGTGCTGGAAGACGCGGGGGAGAGGCAGCGGAGCGAGGTGGGTGTGTGGGACAGGGGATAGGGCTGTGGGGCTGGCACGGAGCAGGGCGATCAGGGAAGGGGGTGGTTGAAGGGGGCGGTGGGGCGGCCGGGCCGGC